TACAGATACAGATACAGATACAGATACAGATACAGATACAGATACAGATACAAAATGATCATGATAATTTCCCAGGAAATCGTGGAGGAGCGCGAATTGTCTTATCACTACGCCCTGCATCGAGTCACCAGTCGAACGCTTTGGCAGTTCGCTGCGTGGTACTGCAACAGTTTTATGCTGCAATTGATATCGTGCACCATATTCATCGTGGTGTTAAAGGTAGGTGACAAAGAATGCTTGAGCTATTATGAGGGACCCTTATTATGTTCGATGTCCTCAAGGTGGAGTGGACTGTAAATACGTCGGTGTTCAAGAAATGCCCTTGGCCAATTTTGTTGCTATTCTTCCTTTGCTATGTGATTTCCGTGTCGGCCTTTTCACTGCTCATGGCGGTCATCATTCGCACCACCAAATTGGTGGTGATAATAATACCAATTTACTGGATCATAGTACCGCTGCCGCTGCTATCGGGCCAATCGCTGGACACATCCATATCGAGCGTGGTGCTGGCCATGACCTCATATATGCTCTGCAATGTGACAATGTACCGCGGCCTGAAGCGAATGCTGAGCCTGGAGAACCACTTGTATAATCTGAGTGTCAAGGAATATCTCATATCCGCGCTGGTTATCAAGGACATAACGCTGCTGCAACTAATTGGATACTTTTTGGTTCAAACCCTGGTCTATTTGGTACTGGCTATTATATTGGAGCAGAACATAGTGCCTTGGGTGTGCAAGTTGATCCGGTGCTTGCCATGCCGAAACCAGCTGCGTAGGACTCAACGTTGGAATCGACGGCGTCGAATTCAACGTCAAAAGATGATGGAACGAGAGAAAGACACCACCGAAAATGTGTCCGAAACCGTTTCCCAAATTCTCGAATATAATGATAAAAGGACCATCCCCTCCATGAGGTCACTCCAAGCGCACACAAACGAATTGCGGCTCAAAATGCCAGGCCTGCCAGCGGTGCCACCGTTGCCACGAAAAAAGTCAACGTTAACTATTGCGAGCACCGATTCGAGTAGCAGCACAAGTGAGTCGAGCGATCAAATAGCCCCGACTGAACAAGATGAATACGTAATGGACAAGCAGCTGGTGGTTTGGTTGAGCAACAATGACATGAGGAACGATAGCAGGAATAGTAGAAGCAGCCAAGGCTCCTACAGATTGAGTGAGGCACCGAAACAGTTCTCTGAAAAGGCGTACGAGTCTAGCAGCGACTCGGATCACAGCTACAAGGACACTGACGACGAGGAGGCCGATCGCAAGGGTCGCGTTGTCATCGAATTCATCAAGGTGTGGAAGAAGTACCACAAAATCTTTGTGGTGAGCAACTTCTCGCTGCAAGTGCACGAGAATGAGCTGATGGTGCTGCTGGGCCACAATGCTGGCGGCAAATCGACCATCTTGAATATGATCTGTGGCCGGACGGTGCCCAGCTCTGGCAGAGTACTGATCGAGGGCCACAATGTGGTGAAGCATCCGGCGCGGGCACTGCAAAATGTGGGCATCTCCTACAAGAATCTCAAAATCTTCAGCGAATTCACGTTCACCGAGCATCTGACCTATATCTGTCGTCTGCGCGGCCTGACGAAGCTGCAAGCCCAGAAGGATATCGCCGACTATTTGAATATCCTGCATGCGGAAAAGCTGGCCCAAATACCCGTTTCCCAGTTGACCGGCGGCCACAGGCGATTGCTGCAGGTGCTCTGCGCCTTTGCCGGCCGCACCAAAATCGTCCTGCTCGACCGGCCAATAGAGGGCGTGGACGCGGAGCAGCGACGTCACTTCTATGTCTTCATCAATCGCGAGCGCATCAATCGCACCATCCTGTTAACCACCAACTCTCCGCATGTGGCCAGCAATCTGGGCGATCGCATTGCCATTGTGATCAGCGGCAAGCTGCACGGCTGCGGCCTAGAGAAGAGTCTGATCCATGGCTACAAGCATGTCTATCGAGTGGTAAGTGAGCCCAACTGAACCCATTATATATGTATGCTCTCTAGAGCCATATCTGTGCACTACTTTGATCAAGTAAGCCAGGAAATGTAGAAGTCATATATGTACGTACATACATATGTATATTAAGTAATAAAATTCTAAAGAAAGACATGTAGTCAGCCGAGTCTTTAAACTATAGAGCAGGAAAATCTGCTTTCATAACAGCATGCTGTACATAAGCATATCAATATTTAGCCGGATACATAGCATATATATTCTTGAGCAGCGTAATCCGTTTCATTCATACGTGCTTAATTACCTGCATATGTATATCGTATATCTGTCTGTTCACATCTACCTAACTCTGTCTGTCTGTCTCTCTGTCTGTCCAGCAAGAGCCGAAGAAGAACTACAGACGATCATTTAAATTGTCTGCATGCATGCAGCGGTATTCATTTCGTATTTATACGCATGTAAAACGAAGCTAGACTAGTCGAAGCAGCAGAGAGACTTTCCATTGGTCTGTTAAAGCTCAACAGCAACGAGCTCTACCTGGCACCGGGCGCAACTCTTGAGCGCAACTTTGTGTTTGAGAGCGAGTAGCCCTATATAAAGGGCAGCCAACAGCTGCAGCGCTTCTTTCGTTGCCCAGGCCTGGTGGGCGGCAGTCGTGCGGGGCAGTAAAGTGTACTGAATTGTGTGTAAATATTTAATGATCGTTCCGCTAAGCCTTAAAGACTTGGAGGAAATACTTAGAGGAAATACTTGGAGGAAATACTTAGTGGAAATATTTAAAGGAAATACTTCGAGGAAATAATAGAAGTACTTAGAGGAAATACTTGAGGGACATACTTAGCGGAAATTTATTTATTTTTTTATTTATTTTATTTATTTTATTTATGTTATTTATGTTATTTATTTTATATATTTTATTTATTTTATTTATTTTATTTATGTTATTTATTTTGTTTATTTTATTT